TTTGAACAGTAATAATGGAAAATGCACATCTGAAATAATTTATTATTTGACTAACTCAAATACCTAGAGCTACAATATTGTGATTGTTAACAATATTAAGTATATTAGGATCTAAATTAGTTGGTTGTTCACCTGATATTAACCAGTCTTTATCTCATATTGTGTGAGCTGAAACTAATAGTATAGCTAATGCATTATTATTAGCTGGAGCAGTATTTTGAATGGTACGAGCTTTTCTCTAAATCTATTAGCAGCAAGAGCATATACATGTATTACATTATTATTTAATTCATTAATAGTATTAAGATTTGCATGCACACCAAAAGACATATTAAGATTCTGTAATTTTCAATTTTTATCTTTAATATTGATCTTATATCAATTCTTTGTATAATTCTTGAGGCAAGATTAGAGATGGCACAGCAAGTACATGATACTTATTTGTCATCTGTTGCAACATGTTGCAACTTCAAAATTTTATAATTCGTAACTAGTTGCAAGTAGGTGATGCTTTATTTGTCACCACGTTGTAACAGTTACTGCGTCATCTTTAGGTAAGACTCAAAAATTCTTTTAATTCTGATTTGTATAGCATGCTTAATATCTGGAATATAATTAGCATATTCACATCATCGACAAAGATCTGTAATAAATTCTTTTAGACTTTACCCATCATTTCATGAAATTTGAGTAGTTAGTATCTTAATGAGGAACTGATAATTGAGTACTATCCTTCTTTTCTGAATGGATTAAAACTTGATGCCTTCTTTTAGAAATATCAAATTGCATTAGAGGTACAAGAAAATCAGTATCAGTTTCATAACACTAGTTGGTATAAAGATATTAAAAAGCTTGAGAATATTGTTAATTAAGATTGGCAAAAAAGATCCATGTATCAGGATAATGGAATTTTTCTTCTTGAAATATGATATGATGAAAAACCAAAATCGTTATTCTCCAAAGAATCAAAATTTTTGACTTATAATCAATCTCTTTTTGAAGTAATCTTTCTAATGAACTCATCAAATATCACAATTCAATTTTTAGAATTTTTCTTAATATTTATTATTAATTATGACTTGTTTTTAATTATAATCATTAATTATATCTTTCATAAACTCAATCTACAATAAGTCATATAATTTTGATATTTATGTATAATAAATATATCTTCTTCTATCATCAAGATAGGTTATCATTATTACTAATAGATTTTTGTTATTTACTTAATATGAGAACATTTTTAAAACAATACAATACTAATATTTTTTAGCAATTTGGTTGAGTGTCCAATGTAATGCACAATAAATATTATTATTGTTTAATTAAATTTTGTATAATTAATAATAAAGATAATTAAGTAATAGATATTTAATTAAAGATATTATATATTAAATCTAATTGATTATAACTTATTTTTTTTACAATATAAAAAGCATCTCTTATATACATAATAATTTTAGTCTACATATTACAATACATTATTAAATATTACAAAATGTTATTAAACATTACAAAATGTTATTGAATATTACAATATGTTATTAAATATTACAAAATATTACTGAATATTGCAATATATTACTAAATATTATCATATGTTCAAATCATATAGAAAAAATATAATTATCACATATTCAAATCATATAGAAAAATTGCAATTTCATCCAATAAAAATAAATAAATAATTTAAATAAATTTAAATTATTAAAAATATTAAATATAATAAAAGTAATTAATTATTAATAAAATAATTATGTTATAAAATATTTGAATTATAATATTTATTTTTTCTTTAAAAATTGAGCTTCAATGAAATTTATAAAAAAATAAAAAATAATATTAAATAAATAATTAAATAATAATTAAATAAATAATTAAATAATTAAATAATTAAATAATTAAATAAATTAATAATTAAATAATAATTAAATAAAAATTATATGATAAAAATAAAATAAAAATAAGTTTAAATTGTTCTAATAAAATTTATAAGAAATAAAAATAATAAAAAATAATATGATTAATTAATTAATAAATAATAAATATATAATTATATAAGCAAAAAGTATATGATAAAAATAAAATAATAATAAATAAAAAAAGTTTTAAATTATTCTAATTATATGCAATTTAGTATCTTTACCAATTTGTAAAATTTATCACAATTAATAATTTTTAAGTTAATTTAGTAAAAGATATATCAACAAATAGAAGAAATTACACACACTATAAAAAATAATTTTCTTTGAATATTTTTATATAAAGAAATAGTTCCAAATAATAAAAGAAATATTAATAGATAAAATAAATTATATATTTCAGTAATATAATTATTTCAGATATTTTATTACTTTAAACAAAATATACTAAAAAAAGTTAAATGAAAAATATATAATCCAGTTTAGGAATACTTAGAATATAATTTAAACTTTTAGATAGAATATATTTTTTAACTTTATATTATCATTAAGAAAAAAGTAAAAAAATAGTATCTTTTAATAATAATTCAAAAATTATAATTAATTATTAAAAATAATATCTGTAAATATTATTAATTACTAATTATAAATTTTATTGATTATTAATTTGATAATATAATTATTAGTATAGTTACACTATAATATTAATCTATTTATTTATTTATTATTATTAATATTATCTTTTTTTATCACTTTTCTTTTTTTGGATAATTTGACATATATAAATTTCTTGAATTTGCTTATATTACTTCTGTTATTATATATGAATAATATTTTTCAGTTTTTCATTGTTGTTTTAATTTTTATTGGTTTTTGTTAAAAGTAAATAGCAATATTTTGTCTTTTATAATTGTAAAAAAGTATTTTTTTATTAAATGAGTAATTTCTTTGTTTTTCCTTTTCTTTGTTGTTATTGATATTTTTACTTTATTGTAGAAAGAGTTAAGAGTTTGATATTTGTTTTTCAGAATATTCTCTTTCTTTTTTTTTAGAAATTGCTTTTAAATTCCAAATTTTTTTGTTTATTAGACACAATTTTACTCTTTAATTTTAATTAGATGAGTTTTTTTGTTAATTATTAATTAACTAATAGTAATTTGTATATGATAATATTGTTTTTGTGTTGAAAAAATGTTATATGATCAGAATAATGAGTATTTATTTTAGTTTTTCTTGTTCAAATTTCAGATAGTTATTATTTTCAATAAAAATTTTATCAATAACTTTAAATTATAATAACTCAGTCAGTTTATATTCAATTTTGAAAAAATACATATTATTGAATTTGCAAGATTAAGAAAAATTTAATAATGTAATTTTTATTGAATTTTAATTACTGGATGAAAAGATATTATCATTCAAAAATGTTTATAAAAAGTTTAAAGTCTATTGTTTAACTTTAAGCTTGAATATCTCTATAAGTTTTTTGTTTTATAATGGGAAATTTTATATTTTCAAATTTTTTAGATCATGATGAGTCTAATGATATAAAAATTAACAAATTTTAATTACTAGTTAGTAAAATATTATTATTTTTTATTTATATATAAAAATTTTTATTTTGATATTTTTGAATAAAATTTTTTTGTGAACTGACTTTGATTATAAATATTTTAGTCAGTTTTGATTCTATAGTAGAAAATTTTATATTTTTAAATTCCTTAGATTCTGGTGAATTCAATGGTGTAAAAATTATGAAATTTTATTTACTGATTGATAAAATCTTATTGTTTCCCATTTGTGATTGAGAATTTTCATTTTGGTATTTTTATTTTTCAATAAATTTTTGTTTAACTTCAATCTTAAATATCTCAGTAAATATTGATTCAATAACAAGAAAATTAATATTTTGGATTTCTTAAATTATAAAAAATCTGATAAGATCAAAATTTTCTAAGATTAATTTATAAGTTGGTAAAATATTAGTATTTTTAGTTTGTTAATGAGATTTTGCTTCAGAAATCTGCAAAGAAATCTATAATATAATTTTGATGAAATTTTTCTTTATTCTTTCAAAAAATAATTTACTTGATTATTATTAATATTTTTCTTTTATTTCTAGCTTTTCTTGATTTGTAGCACTTTGAAATTTATCTTTTTTTAGATAAATTCTTTTTGTAAGTTCACCAAATATTATAATTCGATTTTTAGAGCTCTTCTTGATATTTATTATTAATTACAACTTGTTTTTAACTATAATTATTAATTATATCTTCCATAAAATTAATCTATAATAAGTCATATAATCTTGAAATTTGTACATAATAAATATGTCTTCTTTTATCATCAAGATAAATTATTACTACTATTAATAAATTTCTATTGTTTACTTAATATAAGAATAGTTTTAAAACAATATAGTACTAATATTCTTTAGCAATCTGGTTGAATATCCAATATAGTATACAATAAATATTATTATTATTTAGTTAAATTTTATATGTTAATAATAAAGATAATCAAGTAATAAATATTTAATTAAAGATATTTTATTTAAGTTATTAGTTAAACTAATTACTATAACTTTATTATATTGGATCCAATTGATTACAACTTGCTTTTTTATAATATAAAAAAGTATTTTATATATATATAATAATTTTAGTTTATATATTATAATACATTAATAAATATTATGATATATTATTAAATATTATAATATATTACATATTATTGAATATTATAAAATATTATTAAATATTATAATATGTTACTAAATATTACAAAATATTATTGGATATTGCAATATATTACTAAATATTATTATATATTTAAATCACATGAAAAAAGTTATATAATTAAAATTTTATCAAATAAAAATAAATAATTAATTAATTTAAATTATTAAAAATGTTAAATATAACAAAAGTAATTAATTATTAATAAAATAATTATATTATAAAATATTTGAATTATAATAATATTATTAGGATACTCCTATTTTCATCATCGTAATTTGCTATTTTCACCATGTGACATGGAATTACCAGATGTTTCTGAATGTAATATTTGCATCACATGATCGTAGCATACAGGCTGAAATTAAGAGCTAGAGCGGATCAGAATTATGGACGTGATGGATACATGTCAGAAGGGATCGCCAAACAAAAGATAAAGAGGAAAAGAGCTATGAATATTTGCGAAATTATTGGAGAGTTTCAAAAGTTATTGTTGGAAAAGTATCATGGGAGGTGATAAGTTCGGATGATGTGATTATTCTAACGTAATAGTATTAGATGTTTGAACTCTCTGGAACTATGACAAGCGTTGAAAAAGTCGGTCAAAGTGTCGAGATTGTTAATTGAAACAGCAGAACTTGGAGAATTTGTATCTCATTATAAAAAGTATTGTGTCGCTTGGCTATATAA